AGATACGGAAACATGTTTTACAGGTTTAACAGACATCAAATTATGTAAATATTATAGCATTTTGTAAAGCTTAGCTCTAGTTTTTGTCACAATAAACATGTATAACTTTGTTAATAAAAAATAGTAATAGTAATGATGACAATAATAATAATAATGATAATAATAATAATAATAATAATAATCATGTCAAATAGTACGCTTGTTATGAAATACTAGATCACATTGTTTTCATCAGGCTTACGAATTGATGAAGGGCAAGAGTCAGTAATCATACATTTAATATTACCGGTAACAACGAACGAAATACGTTTATGATATATAAAGTTAAGGTAATTAATGTCAATGTTTACCGTTCCAACCTAGGCCCGAGAAATGATACAGACCAGTAAGAAGTATTTAAAGGAAGAGTTCCAGACTTCTGTTAGCCCATTAATGGTCAGGGTAGATGGCCGTGTACTGCCAGCACCTAAAATCAAGCTTGGACCACAAGATCAAGCTTTGGTTCCACGGGATGGTTCGTGGGACCTACTTAACAACTCATTTCATGAGGGAGCCCAGATTGAAACCTGGGCTTTAGCTTGTTTTGTTCCTTCCCATTTGTGTGGTGAAGATGATCTGAGAAAGTTTGGTCAGCAAATGGCGTCTGTGTCTTGTGGAGAGGGAATGAAGATGACAGAGGAGCCAGCTGTAATGACATACGCGAAGGCCGACAGTGATGTGAGCTGTTCCCTTCCTTCCTTCCTCCCTTCCTCCCTTCCTTCCTTCCTTCTTTTCTAACTGACTGTCTGTCTGTCTGACTGACTCACTGCGTGTCTGACTGACTCACTGACTGACTGACAGACAGTTAAACGGACGGACGGACGAACAGACGGACTAGCCGTGAGATTAGCAAAAAGGCTCTCGCACATTTCAAAGTGGGATATAGCAGTGAATGCACATGTCGACAAAATATAGAACATTCTCGCATTATTTCACTCCAAGAAACAAAGGTTGACTGGGATGAACACACTGTACTCATTCCGCGAAGATATGTTTGGCTTTATAATTTTGTTGCTGCTGGTATAATATACGTATGTTGCCTTCCGCATGGTAATAAACGAGATACGGGTCCGCGATCCATACAATCATTTTTAAAAGTGCTTGTTTTAGTTGTTTTCCTTTAGCATTCCTTCTGGAGGGGAATGACTCTTTGTACAAGTTCTATTATTGTGTTCTAGTTACAGAAAGTTATTCTCCTGAAATAATCTTCTCGAGACATTTATTGAATAACTTCAGAACATCCGAGGGACTTTTTTATATTACCTACCAGCTGGTTTAATTCTTAGACTAAACTTAATTTGATATGTGGTTTTAAACCATATTGAAAGGAGAGGAGACAATTAATTTGCTCTTATTTTTGTCAGGTTGAAAATCTGTTCTGTAAGTGGGTAGTAGAGATCCCAGATCTTCAGCTCATCATGGTTGTCCTGCCAGAAAGAAGTAAGCGTCTTTATCCTGAGATCAAACGAGTCGGTGACATCGTTCTTGGTATTCCAACTCAATGTGTTCTGTCGAAGTATGTGCAACAAGCGAAACCTGACCTCTGCGCCAACATCGCCTTGAAAATAAATGCAAAGCTGGGTGGAATCAATCATGTTATTGATCTGGCAGACAAGTCACCCGTATTCAGAGAACCTGTCATCATTTTTGGTGCTGATGTAACACACATTTTCCCCTCTAATAAGATTCCGTCCATCGCTGCTGTTGTTGCCAGTATGGATACAAATGCAGCTAAATACCGCGCACAAGTTCGAGCGCAGAGTCACTACATATCAGGAGGTTTCCGGGATATAATCAACGATCTGGCTGCTATGGTGAAAGAGCTTCTTATCGAGTTCTACAAAGCCAACAGGACACTAAAGCCGTCCAAAATCGTTTTTTACCGAAATGGAGTCAGCAAGGGTCGGTTTGACCAAGTACTAGTTCATGAAGTGCGTGCTGTTCAGGAGGCCTGTATGATGCTGGAAAAGGAATATCGCCCAGGAATCACTTTTGTTGTGGTTCAGAAGCGGCATCATACAAGACTATTCTGTGAAGACAAACGAGATGCCTCGGGCGCAGATGAGAATGTACCCCCAGGCACCACTGTTGACAGTGGTATAACACACCCATATGAGTTTGACTTCTATCTGTGCAGCCACTTTGGAATCCAGGTAATTTGATGTCATTTAACTTTCGCGAGGGTCTTTTTTTTTGGAAGTGTGACTTAGTGAGAAACTCCAGTTTGCTTCACAGTGGATTGTACTAAACGAGTTACTCCCTTTATGTTTTCTTATTGTAAAATAGGGTATTGCAATTTAACCATGAATTAACCAGTCTCCGGGTTTGTCTCTTTGCAAAGATCAGGATCACGATTTACGATTCAAGATCTCTCGGATCATGATACCGTGCGACTTGTTTGTAAGGAACCTTGACACTCTTTCCATTCATTCATTCATTCATTCATTCATTCAATCAATCAATCAATCAATCAATCAATCAATCAATCAATTAATCAACTGAATCAATCAATCAATCAGTCAGTCAGTCAGTCAATCAATCAATCAATCAGTCATGATCAATCAATCAGACTTCATTTAAAGAGGGTAACACATAATAGTTTGTACAACTAATGAACCTGTGGCCCTCTGACGGTCTGCTTACTTGTTTGTTTGCCTACCTGATTTTGTCTGTCTGTACGTCTTTTTTGCAACTGCCTGCCTGCCTGTCTGTCTGCCTGCCTGTCTGCCTGTCTGTCTGTCTGTCTGTCTGTCTGTCTGTCTGTCTGTCTGTCTACTTTATTCACATCGCGCCTGCGTCTCTATTTAGCAGCAGTCGATCACTGAGTTCATTCCCTCCTTTTCTTGTCTTTGTTTATTTATTACCTTTTTGCTGAACAAGTCGCTTGCTGGTAAACATCTCGTTTTTTAAGCTTTCCAAACGCTCTTTAGTCCTACCGATTTCCCCAACACCTGCGCTCCAGGTTTCATTTTTGTTTAACGTTAGCTTTTATTAAATAACTAAACTAGGTTGTAAGGTTCAACTGTAAGGCGTTAATGTTGTCACTCTCGCCTTAGATATTAACACTTATTTGACCGAGAAGGTGACTGGTTTCTCATCAGGGAACAAGCCGACCTACACACTATCACGTTTTGTACGACGATAACGCCTTCACAGCAGACGGTCTTCAACAGCTCACTTATCAGCTCTGTCACCTGTATGCACGGTGCAATCGTAGTGTCTCCATGCCAGCCCCTGCCTATTATGCACATTTGGTGGCGTTCCGAGCTAGACACCACGTGACCAATGGTGAAAATGAAAGGTGGGTCTTCAGTGGCAAGATTTTGTCAAATTTTCTAGGTACCTTATCGCGACCTATTTTTTTCCTCCTTTTAAGTGTTGTCATGTTTAACTTTTTAGCGGCAGTGGCATCAAGGACGTGGTAGATTTGGAGAAGTCTTCAAGAGCCATTCAAGTAAACTACAGAATGAAAGGAGCGATGTATTTTACGTAAAGACTTAGCTGGATAACACTGTGTATATATGTAACTTGAAATACCACGTATAAAGAAAGGATGAAAAATGCAATGTAGTGTAATTGACGGGTAACCAGACATTACTGAAAATGTCTCCATAGAGTCATGTAGGACTATTTATATGAAGACAAAATCCTGATTCTTAATTAGTTTGTTGCCTTGGCTTTTAAACAGCAGTGGATTTGAGCTTCTACTTCGTCTACCGTACGAAAAAAAAGACTAGATACATGTACAGTTCTGCACCGAAATACAATGAATGACTCACAAACATGTTCTCATTTGTGTACAGTACCCGAAGAAGGAGCCGGGATTTTTTATAAATGCTGTTGCATTTTGTTAGACTTAGCATTGCCTTAGTTGGAAACCGAATCGTAACATAACTGTATTCAGGTGTAAGTACGGACATAAGTTGTACAGTGTTATTTGCTATTTTCACTATGGCCGATTTTGTATTCTGTACGAGTAGTGTAAGTACCGTAATGTAAGTAATGTAACGTGTAGAGTATTCCAGGTAAGTATCTTAATGTACGTAATGTAAATATGGCATTGTAAGTAGTGTTCTTTGTGTGGCATTAATAAAATAAAATAAAAAAGGTCGAGCCTCCATTAACGGCCACCTCTGTACAACGGCCACTTTTTTGTCCCGGTGGACGGTTGGGCTCGATTACCAGCTGCTGTTCGGGAAAGAAGCTCGCGCTCCGGACTCGATAATGCGGCGGCAATCGCGCCTAGCGAACGGTGCGAACCCTCACTCTCATTTTAACCTCTCTACAGCGGCCATCTCTCCACAACGGCACGGTCGCTTAAGTGCGTCCCAACTGCCAAAATAACTTCTGGACAACGGTCAGTTATTCAACGTCTGACGAACGGTGTACTGATACAAGAACCCATTTTCAGTCCTGTAGAAGTTCACAAAACTTGGTTTCTGTTTTATTGATAAATTCTGATTGTGATACGCAAAAAAAAAAAACACAAACAAACAAAGCAAAACAGGTATACTACAACCCCACCTCTCCAAAACGCTCCGCAACCGCTCTACAACGGGCACTTTCCTCTGTCCAGAAGGTGGCCATTGTAGAGAGGTTCAAATTGTAGTAAGTTAATATGTAAATTCACTTTTCTCCTAAGTTAAAGTTATCATAAAGAGGACAAATGTCAATAGTACTTTTAAGTTGAGAATATTATATTTAGAGAGCTAAGGATTTTAGGTGGATATTATGTAGTGTGATTTAGTTTTGACCTGCTGCTTCGCCAGAGAAATTTGTTTTTTCTCGGATTAGCTTCTAGTGCGTAGAACGAACATCAGAAGGATCAGTGTATATTGATAAATTAGGTAAAATAAATAGGAATTTAGTGACACATCCCACGGAGAAGCTCTTCGTCCAATGTTTCCGGATTGAAAAACCTTCGGAGCAAGGCGAAAACCAGCAACAAATTCAACCCACTTATGACGCCGGGTCCAGGCCACTTTGGTGGGAAGCGAGCGCTTTCTCCACTGCGCCATAGAGTGTTTTGCCATCCAGTTACGGTAATTTATGTTCCCTCAGTATTCAGGACCAAGAGAAGATCCAAGGGAAGGGAGTGAAGTCTCCATATACATGAAGGCCTTATACCCATGATAAAATTATTTTTAGACAGGGTTCCTAGTTCTTCCGAGTATTTTACTCGCGTGATGCGTGGACAGCCCAAGTGACCTGAGACGAAATGGCGGGAAATGTGGTTTTCTGCACTAGCTCCCTGCCGTCTTGTTTTGTTCGGCTGGTCTTCCGGTTTGCTTTGTGCTTGTTTGGCTGTTCATTCTTTAGCCGTTTATTCGGTTTTAGAGAGGTTATTAATAAGCAAATTAAACCACAACGGTAACGAGTACAACGGCCGTGTACGCGTATGTTATAACTCGGCTATGTTCTTTTCTTTGCCGTTCTTCACAAAACAACTACTTGAACGTGGAATGACCGCATTCAACGCATTCTAAAGAACGTGAAATTCCACCGCCAATTTTTGAAATTTGTTTTTGGAATTTCGACGCTGCCTTACATGCTCTGTTTGGGATATCGTTGACAGCGATAGACTAACTGAATGAATCTAAATCCTTGAAGATTTGTAGGATGAGTAAAAGTCGTTTTGTATTTTATTAAGAAATAAAATGATGATAATCGCGGGGACTAATCGAGGTTGTCCTTGGAGTTGTCGTTGTTGCTAAAACTCCCTTTTGCCGTGTGGGTGGGTAGCGTCTATCCTCAATTTCAACCAGCTGTTTGCTCGGTAATGCTTAGTTTTAATGCTTAGTAGTTCGTTTCCTTTGCACTCGATTGGCTGCTCTTTTTTCTGCCGCTCAAATTCGCAGGGTGCAACTAACGGGAAAAACAAGGGAACACAACCTGATACACAGTTTCCTCATTGAAGACGCAAGTTATTGATACAGAATTCGAGAATTGGTTCTAGACTAATAGAGTGTTTTCTCTGTCACGCAATAAAAAATAAAATCAAAAATCATTCAGTGGATAACGTCAAAAAATTGTGATATCCTAGAAGATAAATAAAGAAGACAGTTCTCCAAGTTTAAGTTGTGCGTGGTGTCCCAAAGTTGAGATATTCATCGAAATGTTCTGCGCAAGTATGGAGCCACCATGTTGGTGTTCTGTGGGACACAGGAAGTAGTGTTAACATCTGGAACTTACTTTGGCTATCTAGGACACTGATTAACTGCACTGAACAAACAAACATTTAAATAAGCACTTTTCCAAATACTTGAATGTCTTAAATGGCTAAAAATCACGAGATAAATACATATTTTTCAACAAACGCGATCGTAGCTTTATGTCACTCACCGCCATAACTTTGAAATTCAAAATGCGCTGGTTTCCAAACGAGCGACGCCATTGAGCTGGAAAGTTGTAAACAGATATAAAATTAGTACCTCTTACGCCTAATGAGGTTAAACACTTTGGTGGCTCTTTAGTTTTGTATTTAAGAATTTGATGACGTCACGTGAAAGGCCAAAGAAGGAATATCCCACAATACCCATCGATCGTCCAACTTGAGAAAATTTCGCCTGTGGTTGGTTGGAGTTAAAAGGATTCTCCAGATATTTGACTCTGATGGTTAACTTCTTGGTAAGTAAATGAGCTGTTTTATCTCATTATATGAAGACTGTATTAACTGTAATCTGGTTGCTTTTTCTCAATTCTAATATTCACAGAAAGAGATTTGAGTATAGGAATTGAGAAGCCGCCATGTGCGTATAGCTTGTCGTTAGTTATTGATTTGATTCAAGCAAATTTAGTTTTAGCTCGGGCATATTTTATGAACCAGTGTCTGGTTATGTTTCTAATATCGCTCGCTGTGATAATTTGCTGGACAAAGTTTCTAAGTTTGTTCGAGAAGCTGTAAACCAGCGGGTAATTTTTGCAAATGGCAAATTTGAAAACCAGTGTACGTGTAACAAGTTATGTTTTCACAAATGTATTGTCCATAACCTCGTATCTACGCATTGCTTACTATTTAGCGACTCACGTTATAACATTCCCGTCGAAAATTTTAAAACTTTGCCCATTAGTAATGAACATGTAAAAAAACCTTTGTCACTGCGCTTGTCAATTATGTTATGCNCCCCCCCCCCCTACCCCGGGATAAAGGTGGGGAATGGTTTTCAATAGCGTGCAAAAATCGGCAAATGCCCCACTATGGGGAGAAATATTTGCAGGAAATAAGAGAAAATGCCCCACCCCCTGGGGCAATTGAAGATGTTCCTGATGATAAGAACTAAAGGAACATAACTATAACTAAGGGAACAGAACCACATGCACACATAGAAATAGAAAACCATGAAACTCTTTTTTCATGGTCAACATGGTTAACGGCATGGATTGCGGGCGTGTACGCCCTATGACAACGACATCGCACAACAGGGTCATACTCCAGCTTGAACTATTTACTAAGCTAAATCATGCAGCCTTGCTTTACAGCATTCATGTACATTTTTGATATTGGATATCCATGTTGTGGTCAATTGACACCTGTCTAAACAAGGTATCTACTGACCAGTATCACATGACCATATGGTGGGCTCAGGGTTAGAGCTCATTGAGATCACATGATTTTTTAAAGGTTACCACTGGCCAAGTAATGGTTTTGGATTGGATCGCGGGCTTATATCAGGTTAACTTGTAATCAGAGCCAGGTTGTACTGGAGCTGGTTAACACTAACCCAGCATTAAAAGTTAACTGAAGTATAAATTTCTCTTGTATGGAAATGTTTTTCACTGCTTTTGTTTTGTGTAGCTTTAGATTCAAACTCAAAACAGAAGGCTAAAGAAAACATGTATGTACAGAAAACCTCGCCACAAAGTTACAAAACTCGCTTATCCTGGGTTAGCTTAATCAAACTTTGAACAGCCCGGCCCAGGAGCTCCGCTATTAGGTGTGGCTAAATCTATACATTAGTGAAAAAGAAAAATCATGTAGTTCACTGATGTTTTTTTTTTTTTACCAGCAGATGAAAGTGCCAGGGAAAGGAAACAAGACAAAGTCAAGAGCATGTCTCATCAGATGGTGGGACTGATGGAAAAAGTAAGTACAAGATTGACAAAGAGTTTAACTGTAAACTGCAATCAGGGACTACATTATTTTGTTAATCAATCTCTGCAGAAGTTTTACTTGTGGCTATGGTAAGCAGCTGCTTTATCGCTAATATGAAACATTTTTTCTGTTTTATGTGGAAAAAAGCTAAGATTATGCGGAGGATGTGGATGCATGTTAGCAAATTATGCGGATCTACATCACTGCATCCTGTCAGATGCCCTGGTTATTTTAACCATCAAATCAAATAAATCCAATGAATTGAAGTACAAAATACAGTATGACTCAGTTCAGTGTGCTTTTATTCATAAGTTCTGTATTTGGTATGTACATTGTAAACCATGTCTGCAGAACTGCAAGGAGGGTTACCATAATTTATAATATTTTTGTGTGTGTAACTTCCTGGTTTAAGTAATTATTAAACACTGTCTATTTATTAGTTGGTTGAGCAACTGTTATTTTATGGTCTACATAAAAAAAAATAACATGGCTAACCATTATGTTATTTCATGGTGTGCATAAAACAAGAAATATGGTTAACCATGTTATTTTATGGTCTACATTTAAATATTAAGGACATATGGTTGTTCATTAATTCATCAATGGTCTACAGTGTACATCAAACAAAGGACATGGTTTGCCATGCTATTCCATGATGTACCATATGCACAGTTATTTGATGTTTCAACTGCAATAATACCCTCCAGAATGTGTCAGTGAATTCAAATTTATGTGTTACTGCTACCAATGTTTGACTATGGTCAACCCTGTTCTTTGAACATGGTCAACCATGATTGGCCGTCTTCCTTTTCACAATCAATTTGACCATGGTCGCCCATGCTCAGCCTTGTCCCATTTAACATTCATGGTTCACCATGGTAAAAGTGTGGCTTTCCATGATTGCCGTCCATGAACAACCATGTTCAAGCTTTGGTCCTGGTGCTGGGGTAACATGTAAACTCTGAAGTTTAATTGCATTTTTGCAACAACACCAAACTCAGCCCACATATGGCACCAGGTGGGAATTGCACCCAGGCCACATTGGTGGAAGGCGAGTGCTCTCGCCACTGTGCCATCCCTGCTCCCTGCAGGAGGCACAGTTTAAAGGCACAGTATAGGGCATACATGTACAGTAGGTCACATGGCAAGACTTTGCACTAATGTTACAATACACTTAATTTGCAGTTTAACCTTCTTCCCTGTTATTGATATCAAACAGAACACAGCAGCAGATCAAAGCCGTCACGTACCAGTGCTGTGGGCCATGGTAATAAAAACAATATTAATAATCATATATACATGTATGAAAACATGGGAAAACAAAAGTGCATGATGTGCATGTAGTCCCCCTTGCAACAATTGTGGAGTCATTATGCAGTGCTTCTCCAAGTTCTCACCCTAATAGACACTTCATGTAGAGATATTCTAGATGCACTGTATGTGAAATTTGTGAGAAGAATATGAAGTATTTTTCCAAATGGTACAGCCCTTGGTGTGGCCATCTTGCTTGCATAGACTACCTAAAGGAGCTTAGTCACGGTATTTTGAGTTATTTTGGCCAAATACAAAATTACCTTCAAATGGCCAGTAGGAAACCTGAAAATAACAGTTTAATAAGATAGAAAAACACCAAAGAGATAATGATAAACCATAAAAGAACAAGGATGGCTAAGGATGGAGAAGATTCACACGGATTACAAATGACAAATTTAAAAAGTCGAGGCTAAACTTTTCAATAGACGCAAGCCCTGACTGAGCTCCTTTAATGTACACTGCTCATGAGAGTTAGTGAATTATTTCAAAATGATCATTTGCATGGAACAGTCTATGTACACTGTAGTGCATTAGCTTTAAAAGGATGAGGCATGAATTTCCCAGAGAAACCTTCTAAATCTGAAAATAATAGTAATAATAACATTATCACAATCTGGCATTTCTAACTCTCCAGGATTACCAGAAGCAAGTTAGGCAAATAATTTTGTTGGGAAAAAATTTTTTTTAGTGTACATACTAAAATATAATAATTATGATGTCACTGTTCCTTCCACAGAAGAGGAAGTGTACATCATTGCAACTTGATAAAGGCTGTTTTCAATCATGGAAACAATCTAGCAGTAATTGTCTGGTAGGTTCAATTTTTCTAATAATTAGATTCTTCTTGCATGCACGATTTTAAGTAAACAGCACATGTTTTTTGTCCCGTCCACACTACACTGGAAAATTTGAAAATGACATTTTCTCTCTGAAAACGCATCAAATGTTATTTGCCTAAAGGCAACTTGTAATCATTTGTGGCAGAAATGATCAAATACACCCTTAAGTGGAGGATTAAATTTTCACCATCATCATCTAGTCATCATTTTCTAAAAGCTCTCTTTTCAAATTTTTTTCTGTCTACACTCAAATGAGAAGATGTGTTTTCAAATTCTTCCAGTAGGTAGTGCATTTTGAAAAGCTCCATTTTTGGTTGACAGTTTTTCTGGATTAGTAGGCCTGAACATAGCAATAAAATTTTGAAATTTCTCTGGCATGGTGTGGGCAGGGCCTTGGAATATAATAGTACTTTTTAAGTGCAAAGAGTGCACAAATGCAGCAAGTGATCAGGCCAACAACAATCATGTGATCAGTATTTTGAAATAGCAGAATAACATCAACAGCCGTTATACTCTAATCACCCTGAAACGATTATAAAATATTTTGTAACTAATCTTAATGAACACAAACACAGCATCAGGGGCATGGGCATCTCGTTTATTGATGCAGGATACAGCGAGCGTTTCATCATCATAAAGAAAATACAGCAGTGAATAAACAGAAAAATTAAAAAGCAA